TACAATGCACATACTGTGTAAACTCTGCAAAATAAATATTGAACCAAAACAGTTTTGAGTTTGTTTGGTAAAATAACTTTATACTGCTTATGTTCAAAATATTTTGTAAAAACGTCAGTTTTCGATTAATAATTGTTTCAACCTTTAGTAGCTGAAAATGGCTTGTCTCTATGATGTCTACTACAAAATATGCAATATTTCTAAATTATAGTTAGCTATTTTGCAATCCGCTATACCAATATTAATATAACTCTGCCTTCAATGAAAGAATTGGATTTTATCTCATTCAGAGGACAGATAAAATTATGACCACTTTATTAAGTTACTAGAGAACCCGTGGTCGCAGGGAGGAAGCTAATAGTATTTTTTGTTAGTAAGTTTAAATCGCGTCAAAAAATATACTACACAACCGAAGATACAGCCGATTAAAATGTTGCTCGCACTAAACACAACGTAATATCAACAAAACTGATAAAAATGCCCTTCTAACAATCTTTGCACGTGCACGTGCGTGTTAAACCCTCGTTACCATGGTTACTTTGCAACCTTAAGCTTTTTACCTAAAGCAAAGTAATTTGCACGTGGGTGGTTTACAGACAGACATTCTACAAAAAGAATCTTTTGAATTATAATATTGATAAATAACAATATGCTAACTATCCTAAATCCCATATCCTATACCTCTATACTATATATGTAATGTGTTATATTATGTTAAATAACACACTTGAAATTTAGACATAAAAACACGTAATCACGAGCTTACGAGAGAATCAGCAAGGTGGTTTATTCATAAATTAGAGTTATTGTTACTTTGTTAAACCAATGCTTGTTGTTATTAGTCACCTGGTTGTGCTCTGTAGTAATCAGGTGCTGTGGAAGTTAACTTTATCTTGCTACGTCTTTACTCCAGTACGTGCTCCAACTACCGTCTATACACGTTGTGTCTGAGAACAGGATGTTGAGCACCTCCACCTCGTTACAGTGTATCACTAGTCGGACACCTGCAGTTCTGGTTAGAGTGATGCGCCAAACCTTGTCAGTAGGAGAGGGGGGATTAACAGGGAAGTTAGTGTAGGATTCGTCGCACCAGTTGAGACGGTAGTTTAGACTTTTAGAGTAGTGGAGAAGTTGAGGTCGACTATTCCTACATACCTTAGTTCCCAAAAATTTGTGTGCCATTATATTGAGCACAATTTATTTGAGCCCGAAAAATTTGGGCAGAAAATTTGAACTCATTTGGGCGACCGAAAATTTGGGCACAAATTCTTCGAAAAATGAACGATTTTCCACTAAAATTTCAGTTAGATATTTGCCAATTTTAAGCATGTAGGTGGTAGTCTGAGTTGTTTCACATTATGAAATTTACGATCTGCCCAGTAACTACTAAAAAATACAGTGATGATGGCACAGTACAAAATGATAGATATATAATAGTGATATTTAGTCTCTCAATCAGATAGTTTAGTCTACTTACACTCAGCATATCTTATCATACCCCTTTCACATACAATTATCATTATGACGCCTCACCAGATGGTCGAAAGGTTTGGAAGAAAATTAGAAGGTTTACATCATGATCTATCAAACTAAGCGGCACATACGCTTAGCTTTGGGGAAACAAAGGTGTACAAAATTGTGTGTTGCGCATGGGCTACATCACCGGGGGGCAGGGGGGGCAGCTGCCCCCCTGGGATTTGGGGGACAAGTTTACAAAAACATGAAAATGTATTCTTCAACATAACATTAAACCAGACGGCTATGGTATACAGTTTTGTTTTCGCACCCACTGCTCTGTAGCCCCACTGCACTGTAGCCCCCCCCCCCCCCTACATTGTGTTATCTTTAAATACCTTGCCAGTTACCACGAACAATGGATGAATTCCGTGTATGTACTGTCAAGCTTAAATTCGGACTACTTACATTAATTTGCTTTTTCTTTTAGTTGCTGCTAACGTAAATTCGTGTCCCTCAAGTACTGGAAAATGCGTCAAAATTGTCTAATTTCCTTATAACTTTTCCGGGGGGCTTCGCCCCCCTATCCCCCCGACAAGGGGCTCCGCCCCTTGACCACACTGGGGGCTGCGCCCCCAGACCCCTGCTACTTGGTCAAGCCATGAATGACAGATTAGAAAACTAAAATTTCAAATATTTTTTCACTTGGATATGAAGAAAAAGCCATCTTTCTATAGATTTCAGGGCCACAGGCCAAATGCCAAAAGTTTGGTTGGCAAAAAATTTAGCAGGCGGAAAAGATTTATGCAATTAATTTGGTCTGCAAAAAATTTGGGCGAGAGGCCCGCTCAAATTTTTGGTCGCCCCAATTTTTGGGAATTAAGGTACTCTCCCCCAGCAGAGTAACATCTCACTATCGCATTATCGCCACTCCCCAGCACACTATTAGTTTTAATTTCTAAAGGTGTCGACTCAAGATCCCACTCTATTTCCACATCTCGCTGCACTGGTAACCAACCTGTTAATTGTATGTTTAACTCATGACTACTGAGCAACGATTCATGTTATCATGAATTTAAGGAGGAGGTGTTCAGTGTTGTAGCAAAATTGTAAAGGAATTGTAAGAATTTCGCCAATAATTTATTCTCAGAATTTAAGGGCCCGACCATACCATGACTTTTGTCACCATGACTGTTGTCATGTCAATCAGTAAATTCAGTTTCTAGCTTCTTTACAAGACGTCGTATTGTCCTATCATCAAGTTTGCTGTAGCAAACGCCTAGCACTTGTCACTCTGCCTCCACAAATCCAATAAGTCCTCACAATATCAAGTTTTGTTTTTTTGTGAACCCCATTTTTCTCAAAATTCGACTTTTTGGAACAGAGCCAAACAAATTAACAAAGTTGAATCGCTGGAACAAATGAGCTTAAAAAATTAAATTTGTAAGCTTTATGAACTAATGCCAACCGATAATGGGCATTTTGCTCCTTTATAAAAAATTTTATTGTTTGTTAAAATCAGGACATTATTTTTGAAACACCCTGTAGTGCGGTCAGAATGCCAACAGGCACGACAGTCATGACCAGAGGCACCTAGTGTGTTTAGAGGGCGTGCAAAGGATACGTGACAACTCCTCAGGCACATCGGGCACGTCTTTTCAAATGCCGTGCCTAGCTAAAAATCCGTGCTTGACGTGACTGCAGGCACAGTCTGTTTAGTACTTGTGCCAACACTCAACAGTCATGGATAACGCGACGTCACGATTACCTTATAAGGTCAATATTTTACGTGATATGGACATTGGCAGCACAGACTTACAAAGTGCAATTGCAAAAATAGTACAGACAGATCCGTCTGAAAAATCGATTTACTGACACAAGAAGCTTCCGAAGGATTTATGATGTTTTTAGGTTCAATTTTTAGGTTTCATTCGGTTAAATGAGTAAAACTGTAACACTTACCCTAGCGAGAACGAGAAATTATACCAACTTCCTTATATGGTCATATCACGTGATCGTGAACTTTTCATGGTTTTGAATGCCTTTGAGCGTTCATTTTAATGTTTGTTTAAAATTATATGTCCGTTTCTTTTTTCTTTTTAAATTTTTTTATTAAAAATTGTGTTTTATTTCACACAATGTCCGGTCAAATAACGTCCGATAAGGTAAAGTTAAACATAGAAACATACCATTTTGGTTAGCAGCAGCGGCCCCCGGCCCCCTAATGAAGATAGTCAGAATCAAGATGGTCAAGATATCCTTGGTGCTGACTATTGTGAACTCTTCGGAAACCCAATGGCAATAGTTCATCTTTTCAACACAAGCCTACTTTTCAACACAAGCCATTACCATTAGGCCTAGACAGTGTCTAGGCCTAATGGTAATGTGGACCATTTTCTGTCTGGTAGCAATCCACCAATCGCGATCTTGAGTCTTCCCTCTCTGAGAGCCCTCGGTGGTGGGACGGCTTTTTATAAAGATGGGCTAATGATCGAATAACTTGTACGCATACAGCAAGTTCTTAAAGTGCTAATGCTCTAATGCTATTCAAAGAGGTTGCTATTATACTACAGATCATAGTTTTAAGCATATATTTCAAGGAAACGGTGTGCCCACAAGAGCTCTCAGCTTATATTAGGACAATACTATGGGAGATAACATTTCATGAGCATTCAGATGACAGAACATTAGCGCTTTGGTACCGCCACCAGATGGACTTTTAAAGTGAATCCCTCTCTACAGAAAGAACAATCGTTGCGAAAAAATGATTAGCCTGAGGTCATCTGGTAATATCTCAATTATTTGCAATTTTACATAATTCAAACATTTATTTAGATAATAGTAAAAATAGGTTGTGACATTTAAATCAATAAAATTTGACGTCTAAAATAGTGAACAAATATTACTCTAATTTATTTTTAGTTCTTCAAAACTAAAAATCAATTAAGTGAAATCAAAAAACTGCCTCAATATGTGATTTGTTAACCGTTTAACGTAAACTAGTCAACCTAAAATTAAATCATATCTTAGTTCGCGAAAAGGTCACAATTATACAGGTCATGTTGAAAAGTAACTCTAAAGAACTATTCCATCACACATCAGCGGACCTCTGTTGCAACAAAAGACACCCATGTTAGCATAAGCAAAATTTGCCAAGTTTTCGTGTGTAAACATAGTTATCTAAACAATTTAACTACTTAACTTAAACTATTAACTAAACATATTACGTCTGTAAACTTAAACAAAGTCTGATATCTAAACAGATTTAGAAGGTCTGGTATTGAGGAGCTTGTTGGAGCAGGTAGGACATGAGTAAGACTAAGAGGTGGTGGATGAAGGACTGGCGTGGGTGACAGAGTTATAGGAATCATAGGTCTCGGACTCTCGCTACTTGACTCATTCAAGTGCTGCTACTTTCGATTAATTCGTGAATTCTTGAGCATCAGATTTTAACAACTCTTTGTTTATATATAGTTCTCACGTTGCTAACTTTATAAGTTTGATCAGTCGGTTGATTTTAACCGCGGCGTTGATATTGTGTTTATAGCTAGGTTACAATCTTAATAACCTCCACGAGCGAGAGTTCAGTCTCTAGAGACCTGACTATAAAGAAGACGATCTATTTAAACTTGATGAGCAGCAGAGTTGCCGTTCTCAATAACCAGACCGTTGACATGATGACTGTTTGTGGCTCCGTTGCCATTAGCAACTGGCTCTTGTGGCACAATAGTAGTCAGTCCCTGTTTCTTGTGAACAGTCTTCAGCTGTATAGCTACACTCGGGTAGACTAGCAGGGTTGCGAAGAAGTCCTCTAGAGGGTTCCCGTTTATATCGTACTCAGCTCGAACTGAGGATCTGAAGCTAGCCACCAGGGTCACAAACCCGATGTAGAATATCCAGGCAATGGCGTAGGAACCGGGCACTTCAATCTCTACTATGTGTAGGGTTATCCAGCTCAACCTGAGAGAGTGTTCGGGTGGTGATGTGTGATCAGAAACCATTGCACCTCATTGCAACTAATGTTAAATAAGTAAAAATCATTTTTATGTTGTAAAAAATAATGACAAACTTATAACTTTTAGGAACTAAAGATACTTATAATGCTATCTTAATGTGGATAAAACTCATAACTTAAAAGTTTTAAGAATTAGAGATACTATAATGCTTCTTACCACAGAACGGAGGCAGCAATAGCAACCATTGTTGAACCCGTCTTCTGACCTCCCTGCCTCATGTTTGTCTTGTAGAGAACAAGTGGTCTGAAGGATTATTGGTTAATAGACACCCAAACACGAAGTTATAAATGTGTTCGCTGCTTTTAACATATTAACACAGGACGTAATAAATGTTACTGAGAGACACTGGCAGTGGTCCATTCTAACCATGATTATGGGTTAATTTGGTCAAATTGATTGAACAATTTTTTGAAAGATTTCGACGAAAAGAGTAATCCTCCGCTTTTTGTACTTACTGCTCACAGCTTATAAAATGGTCAACAAAGGATTCACATTTTGTCTTTTCAGTTGAACGGTTCGTTCCCGCTGAGCAAGGGTCTGAAACAAAGTGTTATAATATGATATAATAGCAATACATCAAACCTTTGTTAAATCTTTGAATAGATTTTGAATTTAATTTAATGTTAAATACATATTTATAAATAAAATGTATTTAAAGTTTATTTGGGTTAGAAACGACATCTGGGTCCCTACCATCGCACAAGATTATTCTCAATTTTCTTGTTGTGTTCCACAACTAACATTGAATAATGTTTATAAATGTTTAAAAACACAAATGTGTCTCACAGTGATGGAGTTATGTGTATTTTTTCAGGGTATTGATCATTACTTATCATGCAATGCCATGAAGCTCGTTTCTGTAATCTGTATTCTGAAATGGTGATTTGATTGCCGAGTGACACATTATTTCTGGTATTGTACATGTAATTTCTGGTAATCAACATAGTTCATGTTCAAAATAAAATTTGGTCACAGCCAAATTGAAAATAATTTAGATAATAGCAATGTGTGTTAAACAGCGATCGAATTTTAGGAATTCAGCACAATAAAAGTATTGCAGTATATGACGAAAAAAACACTTTAAGTGGACATTTTTCTTGCTAATCTTGAATCCTCATAAATTAATTGGAGCTGACATTCTGTCTCTTTCTTCCTGTTCATCTCTATTCTGTCAACATTCGTCTAGACTTTATACAGCATCGTCTTCGTTCCTGGGGTTGTTAATTAATAACTTGAGATAGGAGTAGATTATCATTGGACCTTATTAAGATCTTCTGGTTTTTGTCATTTGAAATGGAAATCACCGGATTTGCGGTTAGTTTCTAATATTTGCTAGACTATATCATCAAGGATTTATATTGTGACATTGAGCTAGATTCTACGTACATCTCACGATTGTATTAAGTGTTTAAATTGATTTTACATTTTATTTTGCTTTGTCAAATGCTGTTCCCTGTGTTGAGATCTCAGAGCAGGTTACCTCGATATTTTTTTGGGGACCTCTGGGTACTGGGTTTCTGCTGTCATACTTTTCCACCCGTGAAACTTAAACATACATTTTCTTATTTAGATATCTAAGTTAGATTGCAGTATCATCTGAGCTATTGTTCATAGCCCATCAACTGTAAGATTAAATTAAATTAGTTGTCTATAGTTATATAACTAACTCTTCCCCTTACGACATTATTTTACCCCCTTTCGTCAGTTGTGATGATACTATCCTGGTTGTATGAAGAGTTTAGTTATCCTTTTGTAGTGATGCTATGGTAATTTAGCATGTTTGCTTCTACAATACCTGTATTTATACACTCGGGTTCATTAAAATCGAAAATAAATTCCGTTCCTGAGGTGCAGGTCACCTCGCTGCTCCCTTGATTGAGAGCTCTGGATTCAACACAATTCACTTCCACCACGGTTCCTGGGACTACTGGGAACTTTGTTGATGTTCTGATCGCAGTTCTCCACTCAGCCTTCAGTCCCGTACAGCTCACTGTCGATATGTCATATTAAATCACGTTGAACTAATTAATTGGGTTGTGTGATACAATTATAAGGGTTATTTTGACGGTTTCTTATGTTCTCTTCCGCGATTTAGTTTTCCTGTCCCAACCCAAACCCTTTCATGCAACCTCTAACATAATTATAGTATCGTTTGTTCGGGGGTCAAAGTCTCAAATACTGTATACCGTTTACCATTCTGTAGCACAGTTAATTCAAATTTAACACTCAACAATAATATAAGATTTAAAATTATCTTACCACAGCCAGTTTTGTCAGAGTTTGGTTTCCATCCACCGTCACATGTCTCACAGCTTGTCATAGCATCATTGCGATATGTTCCTTCCCCACACGGCTCTGGAATTATAACGTTACAACTGGAAAATCGTTGTGGAAGATAAGAAAATCGTTATTATATAACTATAAGTACACTTCAGATGTGTTACAATAACATTAGATTTAAAACAATATGTGAAAAATTAATTATCCACGCAACCACGGTTTTTTGATAAAATTATTACCACCCAGACTCTTACGGTTCTTGTATTTTTGTACCACAAATTTGCCTTCTTGATTATAAGCCCTATCTGGCGCCTTATCCTTATCCCGTTTTAACCCTTAGCCCATCTTTGCCCATCTATATATAAATATATTCATCTCAGCTCGGTTCTTGTTAACAATTCTTACCACATTTTGTTCTCCCTGAGTTTCGTTCCTGGCCAAGTTCACAAGTTGTGCACAAGGCTGCTCCTTCTGAACTGATCGTGTTATCAGGACATTCTTCACATTTGTTCATCTCAATGTTCTTGTAGCTTCCAGCTGGACATGGCTCTGAAGAATTAGGAAATCTTTAAACAGAAATTCGTTTGAACTACCTTATTAAGAAGTTATTGTGAGTACCAATATCCTCGGTTTTCATTCTATAGCACAGTTAATTCAAATTTAAAACATAACCATAATATTGAATATAAGCTTTAAAGTTATCTTACCACAGGCTGTTTTGTCAGAGTTTGGTGTCAATCCAGCGTCACATGTCTTACAGCTTGTCATAGTATCATTCCGATATGTTCCTTCTCCACACGGCTCTGGAATTATAACGTTACAAATCATAGTGGAAGATAAGAAAATCGTTATTATATAATAGTACTTAAGTACACTTCAGATGTGTAACATTAACATTCGATTTAAAACAATATGTGAAAAATTAAATATCCACACAACCACTGTTTTTTGATAGAATTATTACCACCCAGACTCTTACAGTTCTTGTCTTTTCGTATCACAAATTTGCCTTCTTGAATCTAAGCCATATCTGGCGCCCTAATCCAGGGTTGGGAAAAACGCAAATGGAATCTTTAAAAAACGCAAAAAATGCAACTTTTTCCATTTTCTTAAAAAACGTCAAAAAAACGTTCAAAAAACGTTCTCGAACCCAAATCAAACCTGATATAATGATATCCCGCCAAATATGAAATAGCTAGACGTGTACACTGTACTGTGTATTTACTATTTAAAGAAGTCTTCTAGAATGTTCGCTTGAATGTTATGACAGATATTTACTAATCCACAGTTCAAATCTTTGACTATTTTTTTTTTTTTTTTAAGAGAGGCTGGGCCAAGATAGCCCACGAGAGGATAGCATTGAGATGCTCTGCCTACCTCTGGGGTGTGGCAACCTTGGGGAAGGTTGCCGGTGAAATCAGAGTGATTGGTGGAGGATGGTGTAAGATGATATATGAGTCAAAATGATACGCTTAAATGCCAGCTGGGTTTGGAAAAGTAAAACGAGACGAGACAGCATATGAGATAATACTTTAAGTCACCCCGGTCTGATCCAGCTCTTCCGGCACAATTAAGCGTTTGGTGCGGTTTGCGAAATTGACAATTGTGGTGATGTGTTGGTTGTCGAATAAAATCTTTGACTATGAAATTGTAAATGTAGTTGAAATTAAGAAATGTTTAACACCCCTGCTTGCGTGATGTTCAGAAATTTGTTGATTTCTGGCATTTTCAAAACTTTTTTTCCTAAAAAAACGCAAATTCGTCTTTTAAAAAACGCAAAATTCATTTGAACTACCTTATTAAGAAGTTATTGTGAGTACCAATATCCTCGGTTTTCATTCTATAGCACAATTAATTCAAATTTAAAACCTAACCATAATATTAAATATAAGCTTTATAAAGTTATCTTACCACAGGCTGTTTTGTCAGAGTTTGGTGTCGATCCAGCGTCACATGTCTCACAGCTTGTCATAGCATCATTGCGATATGTTCCTTCCCCACACGGCTCTGGAATTATAACGCTACAACTGGAAAATCGTTGTGGAATATAAGAAAATCGTTATTATATAACTATAAGTACACTTCAGATGTGTATTGTGTTACAATAACATTAGATTTAAAACAATATGTGAAAAATTAAATATCCACGCAACCACGGTTTTTTGATAAAATTATTACCACCCAGACTCTTTGCCCATCTATATATAAATATAATAATCTCAGCTCGGTTCTTGTTAACAATTCTTACCACATTTTGTTCTCCCTGAGTTTCGTTCCTGGCCAAGTTCACAAGTTGTACACAAGGCTGCTCCTTCTGAACTGATCGTGTTATCAGGACATTCTTCACATGTGTTCATCTCAATGTTCTTGTAGCTTCCAGCTGGACATGGCTCTGAAGAATTAGGAAATCTTTAAACAGAAATTCGTTTGAACTACCTTATTAAGAAGTTATTGTGAGTACCAATATCCTCGGTTTTCATTCTATAGCACAGTTAATTCAAATTTAAAACATAACCATAATATTGAATATAAGCTTTAAAGTTATCTTACCACAGGCTGTTTTGTCAGAGTTTGGTGTCAATCCAGCGTCACATGTTTTACAGCTTGTCATAGTATCATTCCGATATGTTCCTTCTCCACACGGCTCTGGAATTATAACGTTACAAATCATAGTGGAAGATAAGAAAATCGTTATTATATAATTAGTACTTAAGTACACTTCAGATGTGTAACATTAACATTCGATTTAAAACAATATGTGAAAAATTAAATATCCACACAACCACTGTTTTTTGATAGAATTATTACCACCCAGACTCTTACAGTTCTTGTCTTTTCGTATCACAAATTTGCCTTCTTGAATCTAAGCCATATCTGGCGCCCTAATCCAGGGTTGGGAAAAACGCAAATGGAATCTTTAAAAAACGC